AGCCTGTCGTTGATGATTCTTCATCTTCGTATGGTCTGGGGTCCAGAAGCCGCACAGAATGCACCGGTGCTTCAGTTCTTGAGCTTCCGACCGGCCAGCTATGATGCTGAGTTGGTCTTTTCTTGAGCTCTGCACCGTGGCCCGAAGGGTCCCTAGGCTTCTGAGGGCCTGACCTTGCAGCTGTTCCTCAGTGGTGAGAGATAGCTGACGCAGTCTATCTGGCTGCGTACAGGCTCCTGATAACAGGTGGTCACGCAAGCCCTTCCATTGATGGAAAGCCTTGTTGCATGCGGAACATATACTGGTAATCCGTCCTTAGAATGCCGACTGCGATCAAAGGAGGGAGGAATGTACCTCTGTACGTGTTCGCGATGCATCCGTGTGATGTGCATGTGTAATCCATGGGCAGAGACGAAGCCAGATTCGCAGTGAGGGCAGGCGTGTAGCCGCTGCTGCGAGGCCTCGGTGCTCGCCGGGAGGTTGGCCACCTCTTGCAGTATGTCCTGTAAGTCCTGTATGACATGGTCTAGGCGCGTGACATCACCCTGCACAGCTGTCTCAGAGAGACGTTGGCCAGTGGCCGAGTCCGACGCTGTGGGTCGCAGCTTGGCCCATGGGCCATGTTGCACCTTAGGTGCACTGAAAGTGCTCTCCGGCTGGGCGGCGTCGGGAGTTGGGATGTCGGTTCGTTTACGCAGCCGTCTCAACCTGGAGGCCATCCGTTCTTGGATTTTAGCCACCGGGTCCTGAATCGAATACAGCTGGTACAGGTCAGCTGTTGAGATGTGGCTGACGTGGACAGGCTGGTTTAGCACTGAGCGTAGCTTGTGCGCGTACCAACCTCTGAGATGCCTGGCTGTCTCCTCCGTGAGGCCAACTTCAGGAAGCCCCGTGACCAAGGTAGCCCATACAGTAGTAAACCAGACTTTTAGCCTGGCCATTGGCCCCGCGGTTCTGCGGTTGTAAACAAAACGCTTAACCTGCTGGAGCTTTTTGGCAGCCTCCGCTATGCGGAATCGCAGCGTCTGCATTTCAAAATTTCCATAGGAGATTTGAATGCCCAAGTACTTGAGTTGCGACTCAAGCTTGTACGCGGGGAAGGACTTGTGTTTGCCCAGTCTCCAGTGCCTCTGGAGTTTTCCATCCTGGTCAGGGAGCCAACAGGTGTGCTTCTGGAGCATGGCCTCGGCCTCTCTACCGCTGAGCTTGACGAGAATGGCACACTTGGTCGGGTTGACTCTCAGGCCTAGTTTCGCTACCTCCGACAAGAGCGCCAAGATCATCTTGTGAGCTGCGTCCACGTCCGCTTTGCTGCGGATGGCGCGATGCATGGTGAAGTCATCTGCGTACCCTGTAAAGTATTTGCGGACATTGTCCCAGCCAAATGTGCTTATCAGCCTGTGCAGGAGGCGGCCTGTGAGCACAGAAAACAACGTGGGGGCCAGCTTACAGCCTTGTTTGATGCCTGTGGTAGTTTCCACATCTTTGTAGGCCCCTTGAGAATGGAGCCTGTACTTGGAACGATGATGCAGGCCATGTATCAGTTTTTGTAAGGGTGGATCCGCACCGAGTTCATCTAGCAGAGACAAGATTTCGCTGCGGGAGACAGTGTCAAATGCCTGTGACAGGTCAAGTGCAAAGGTGATGCCTCCGACGAGACCGACAGGACATTGTCCCCGCTGCTGGTCCGCTCTGGTGAGATTCGCATTGCGACACAGCTGCCTAGCTTCCCTCAGGTGCTGTACCACTCTGCTCTGAGCGTCAGAAAGGCCACGCCCTGGGAGGTACGCAAACTGAGGAAGAGGCTTCATGTACGGCAGCGTGAGGGGTTCCAGGAGCTCCTTTGCCGTGCCCGCCAGTCCTTTAGCGTCCGGCCGGAGTATGCCCAGCGGCCTTAGCTGAGAAGGCTTGTCAGCTGGCTTGCCCGGCTTGGGAATCAAGCATAGATCCGCACGAGTCAGATCGTCGTCTAGTGACTGATCCTGCGCCAGGCCTGAACAGTATTGTGAAAGCGCCTCAGATACCGGCTGAGCGCAGAGCTTCCAGGCTGCGGCCGGCGCTGCCCCTTTCGGAACGGCCTTGCCAGGTTTAATCGAAGCGATATGTTTCTCCAACTTGGTCTGTGGCAGAAGAGGCAGAAGCCCCGAGTCTGAAGGAAGCGGTGGGTGTGCTGCAAATACCTGGGTAGCGTACTTTCCCAGCTCCGCGAGCTCATTTGCTGGGCTAAGCAGAGAGCCATTCGAATCTTTGAGCTGAGCCTTCAGAGCCGGCTTCCACGGTCGAAGGTGCTTAAGAGTTTGATATGCCAGGTGTTGATCTCCCTGTTTGAGAGCCTGGTCCACCTCAGCAAGGAATCGCTTGGTTTGGTCTTTGCGTGACTGCTTAACTGCCAGTTTATGCTGGTCGTACAGCAGCTGATTGGCATCATGTAGCGGATTCAGCACCGGGATGAGCATTGCTCCCTCGCGCCGAGCGCCACATTCTTCTGGCAATGCGCGTCTCCGGACTTTCTGGCATTGCCACCGGGGTCTTGGGGAAGAACCTGGATGTGGCTTCGCCGAGGAGGCGATCCCAAGACGCCGGCTGCATGTCCGGGGTTAGACGTGTTTTGACCCACTCGAGCATTTGCTGAGCTTGCGGCGTGTTATCCCTAACAGCCGCTTGCAGGGCGGCGGCGTCAAACTGATGCGTCTGTATCTGAGGAGGCGGCAGATTCCAGTGTCTTACTGGCTTGACAGTCGCACTGATGGGCAGGTGCCCGCTTTTCTTCCAGCTGCCTAGTGGAAAATCCGCCAGTGGCGTGGAGGCCTTGGCAGTGCCTCCAGCTGACACCTCCCTCGTAAGCACAAAGTCAATTTGAGTGCGCGTGTCTCCTTGTTGAAACGTGAATGTCGACCACGTGTTGAGAGCCACCAATCGGTGATTCAGCAAAAAATTGGTTAGCTCTGGTTCATCGGGTCGCGGTTCCTGTGGACTGATGAGCTCAGAACCAACCAGCCTGGGCTGCTTTTGCAAGGAGCTGTTGAAATCACCTGCTATGATGAGCGTGTCTCTGTGTGGAACGCGTTGCACACATCTGCCAAGAGCTTTCAGGACTTGCGCCCTGTCCTGACGATTGGCCTGCACCTGTTTGGCCGGTGACCAGACGTGTTGATACACGGCAATCAGGTGGATGCGGGCCCCGTGCCAGTCGAACCTGACTTCCAGGGCTCTGCCTATGACGTGCTCCTGCCAGCGCACATTTTTGGGGAGAATGTGTGGGGACAGGAAGACCATAACCCCGTCCGCACGAGTCGTTGAGGGCTCCTTGCGAGGCGGATTGGTATTGACGTCATTAGGCATTGCCTCTGCGGGTGGCTGTTTGTGGGCCTTGCCCCCGCATTGCTTTCGTCTAGAGGCCTTCGGATCTGAAGCAGAAGCAGACGAAATGCAGTACCAGCCTGCAACACTAAATTCGGCCGTAGCTTGCCAGTGGGTCTCCTGCAGCACAAAAACATCACAGGTGTGACGTGCCTCAGTGGAGAGCCATGATTTGACTTCAGACCATTGTTGCTGGCCTAAATGGCCTGCATTCCAGGACAGTACTCGGAGAGGCCTGGTGGCCTGTCCTGCTCTAGATCGTGGTGCAAAAGACTTTGTGGAACCTGGCCTCGGTGGGCAGGTGCCCATGCGCCTTAGAAGAGCCGGGGTCAGAACCTGACCTCGGTAGGAAACGGGCTGCTGGCTTGCAACCACCTTTCGGCAAGCATGCTTGAAAGAATTCTTCCTGATCTGAGAATAGTTTTGTGAGTGCACTGGGAGCAGCGCCATCCGCTATTTTGTCACAAGGCAAGCCGAGTGACTCCCTCCACCACGCGGCTAGTGGAAACCCTACCGCCTGCCCAGTGGGCCCGTGTTGAGACAGGGTACTGGGTCCAGGAATTGGGACCTGGCGGCTCAGACGCAAACTGTTGGCACATGGCACATGGCTCAGCGTGAGGAACCAACCCTTAGTCGTTCGGAGAGAGGCCTGTTTGAGACCTCTAGCAACGCAAGGTTGGAATCCAGAGCCTGTTCGAAAGCCAGCGCGAAACTTCCAAAACGTCTGAGCCGTGGCGGCTACTACTACTACTACTACTACTACTACTACTACTACTACTATTACTACTACTACTACTACTACTACTACTACTACTACTACTACTACTACTACTACTACTACTACTACTACTACTACTACCACTTGATCGAAACCTTAAATGAGCAACTTAAACGCCCAGATATTGTGTCGTTCCCGATACTGTTGTTTGCGGGGGCGGTCGTCCCCGGGGGCGCGTTTTTTTTGTTGCTGTCGTTGCGGGGGCGCGTTTTTTTTTTTGCTGTCGTTGCGGGGGCGCGTTTTTTTTGCTGTCGTTGCGGGGGCGCGTTTTTTTTTTTTTGCTGTCGGTGCGGGGGCGCGGTTTTTTTTTTGCTGTCGGTGCGGGCACCGGGGTTCACTCACTCACCGGCTTCCTGGGTCCGCGCAACGAGAACAAAAAAAACATAAAGGCAACGACAGCAAAAAAAAAAAAACACGGGTTCCCGTTGTTGAACCCGGCATAGGGCAAACCCCGCTCGGCATCTGGAACTTCCAAATCATGATAGCATGCAAAATGCAAGCTGTCCATATAAGATGCAAAGGCTTAGGGCTTAGGGAAAGCTCACATCGCAGGAAAGGGCTGACTCCACCTTCAGGTCCCAAACCAGTGCTGCATCACAAAACCACAAGCCTTCACTGAAGCAACTCCTACGATCTTCTGCGGTAGCCGTGCATGTGCTGTCTTGAGTATTGATCGCTCCTTGAACGGAAGAGGAAAAGCTTGTGCTGCGCTTCGCGACTCGTCTGGTAAAGATTGAAAGAAAGCTATCTAACTCATTCTCAAATTGAAGAGGGGGCTCCAAAAGCGAAACCACACCGTGAAGTTCTGTACACCGCCCCGCAAGACTGTGTCACAGAATGTCACAGAGCACGAGCGAATGCATCACCGAGGCGCCAACTCCACTGGCCTGGCTTGAGACATGAAGTCTTGCCAATCGAACTCCCGCGGCGACTGATTGAAACCTCGGGGAGAGACACCTCTGCTTTGTGCGGAGGCATAAATGAGCATAAGCATGATGTTGTCGATGTTGAGAGCACCACGTTTCACCCAGCCGAAAAGGATCGGATCGGCATACGCCTGCGGTGCGCGACGGAATGTGACAGAAACGAAGGGAGCAAAAGGGTCCCAACGCCTCGCGCAGAAAGCGTACCATCTTGGAAGCCTCCTCCTGTCCGTAGCGGAGCTTGGGGGCTTTGCTCTCTCCATCAAAGATACCAAGGCCATCCTAGGCCCCGGATAGGGCCTCAGACCCTCACAAAGGATTCCCGTCTCTGCTGGAGAAAAGATGGTTGCCTTCGACAGGAGATTGGACTTGATCTCGCCGTGGATCAAGACCAGCTGATGTGAACTTGGGCGAGTTCGCAATCACAATTTGCTGGGAGTCGCAAGAGGCTCCCGAGCTTGCGGGCACGATGAGCTCGGTGAAGAATGAGACCCCGAGGTCAATGACAGGCGAGCCCTGCCTGGAACGGGAAGAAACCAAAGGATGCTGTCTGGGCTACAGAGCAAGTTCTTAGCTGCTTTGGGGCTTGCGCTGGAAGCCGTCCAAGGTCTTAAAGAGAACCCGCTGGTCTTGAACCTTCACTGCCAAGTAGACAACCAATGCATCATGGGCTGTATACTGAAAGTCGCTGATGCCTGCCAGACCATGTTCAGAAAGCCCTCTCCACGAGGAAGCGGAACAACGAACATAGGGCAGGCCTCGCGATCGCGCAATCAAGCCGTACAAGCAGAGCGAAGAGGATGCTGCACGCTTTCATGACATTAGACATTGGACTAAGCGAGAGAAGGAAAGTGTCATTGCCTCGGCATTCGCTTGAAACCTTGAGATGCATACAAATCCTTCACTTTCACTACAGGTCAACCAAGGCAGCGACGGTCTGTAATCTTTGTCACTAACTGCCTCGGGAAAAGTGCGCTTCAACGAAGGACCTTGCAAGAGGCCTTGAGCTGCCTGAGAAGCATACTCCGGCAACGGTCACCGGGTTCTCCCGAAACCTCGTGAGACAAAACCGTCCCTTCTTTCCTAGATGAAGCTGTTGCAGCACTGGTAGCACCTCTCCAACCAAATCTCGCGAACTTTGACTGGAGATTCTTTCAGCAGCAGCGGAACCTTCCACATTCTTGGGGACCAGAGGCCCAGAGACCCCCGCTCAGACCACCGCGTGTAGAGGCCTTCGCAATGTCGCCGAGCTTGGAGGCACCTCCCGGAACCTAAGGTGCTCCAAGCGAAACGCAGCGTTGCATCGCGGACCCGTCAGACGAAAGAGATCTGAGATCCTGGCGTTAGGGCCGAGTGCCTCGCCAGGAAGACTACCTCAACGTGGGTCAAATGGCAAGCAACAAACAAGAGGAGGGCCGACAATGCCAACCAAAGGATTAGATGAAAAGTGGATGGACAGCAGAAGCATGGAAGGTAGCAAAGACAATTTATCAGTTGATACATGCATGCAAACCGCTTCTGAAAATACAGCCGAAGCTGTGGTTGCTCCAGTTCATTCCAGTTCGATACATCGAAGCACCCCAAATTGACACAACCTCGAAGTGAAACTGCTCAGCTTGCTGGCCTGTGGCAAAGGCCCGTCCCGTACATCTCCTGCCCAAGCTTGAAGACCCCATCGCTGAGACAGTCTTGCAATTTGCGATTTGAGAGAAGATGCTTCATCGAGATAATTAAGTGATGTTTTACATGTAGAATGTCACCCCGTAGCAAGAGACGGCAGTTTCAGGGCATGCCTTGCCGACCCCGCAACGCATATGACCAGGGTTCACTGGTTGTCAGATTGTTGTGTGTGCACCGAGCAACCTTCGAGCGGTGGAACACCAGGCGGTTTACCAAGATAATGAGCGGCCTCTATTGGCTCCTGCCACCTCTCTGTCTCCGTTTCTCTTCTCCACACTCCACACCGTGGGCCAGCAAGGTGGCTCTGTGGTTGGTCATGTTCGTTCAAGACAACTTTGTTGACAGACCTGTCGACCGACTCCTCGGCTTGCTGTGGCCACGAATGTTCCCGTTGTTGTCCAACAGCCATTGTCAATTAATTTTGTCTGTTGTCCTCATGTTGGAGTCCAGATGCCGCTGCAAAAGAACTGCATTGGTGATCCTTGATCTGGGCTCGCCCGGAGATGTCAAGGAATTTGAACGTTGCAAGCGGTGAGCAGAACGCAGGACCCGGCAAGTGCCGGAATGTGCCACTGTCACATTGAATTCTTCGAGTCGCTATCAGTGCCACTGTTGGCTCCGTCTCCCCCTCGTTAAGAGCCCAAGGCTGGAGTAGAGGCTTTGATTGGAGATTTTTTCGCTGAGTCACTGATGTCACTGTGGCTCGGAATTCGGTGTGGCCAACTCTCGGTGTGGCCCAGGCTGCCTCGATTTAATCAGTAATCCCGGTGTTGAAACCCTTTTTGAGAGCAACTCCTTCGCAGCTGCGGTACGCAGCGCAGAGCTCGGGCAACCGAGGCACTGGCCAACATGGCTGGTGCCTCTGTCCCGGTGCCTACGCATCTGTCATGCTACGCACCCCTTCACGGAAGATTCTGTCCGGCATCAGCGAGAAAAACTGACGTTGGGTTTGCATGAGTTGAGTGAAGCTGTCCAACTTGGGCCGCACATGGCTGCACGGAAGCTCCGTGGCGATCAAGCTGCGCATCCTCTTGGCAAAATTGTCAAAGGGGCGCCTTACCAGGCAGGTTCATCTCGACGGCCGCCTGGTTCACAGACCATCACAGAACGCACAGCAATTCATCACCCAACAAAACCATCGTTGCTAACCTCATCCTTGGTCCTAGGTTCAAAAGCTTCCAAATGCAAACAGCGCCAGAGTCTCCGACAGCTGGAAAACACGCATCTCAACTCGTTCAACCCGTTTGCGATTGCCTTCAGCTCCTCCACCGTGGCTGACACTGTTGACTCCATCACCTGGGCATCAAGAGCAAGATCTTGTAATCTTGTAAGCTGCCTTTTGGAAAGTTTGTCCAAAACCCTGTCTCGAAAGGCAGACAGGAACATGAAGCGGACTTCAATTCTTGGGCATCTCGGCAAAAGGATATCCAACAGCACAGACTGTTTCAAAGGCATGCCCTGCTTGACGAAACACCTGCCTTCCGAACCACTTGGCATATCTCGGGGGAAGCCTTTCATCGGCAGGAAGAGCTAAGCTTGCGGGGAACGTGGACAATACGCTCCTTGGTCTCGTCTTGCGCGGCCATCGGCTGCCGTCGCTTAAAGACGCGCCGCGGTTCCCAGAACAGCACCTGATGCAGCTGCGGCCTCTACTCTCGAGGGTGTATACAACGCTTGCAAGCCCGCCAAGATCATCAGATGCCATGCACAGATATTCCAGGTTTTGAAAGAAATTCGAGCAAGATCTGCGGCGACCTTGACAGCTATGCGGGCCTGATGTCTGGTAGTCACGCGTGCATAACCACATACATTCGGGACAATCACGACCCCGACGAGAGAATCCAAAAGGCTACGACGGACAGACCTTCTTGCTGGATGGTATGAATGCGCATTCGCGCCAGGTCCGTCGCATCGCCAGTACACGGCTAGCCGGCACCGGGGACGCCTTTAGCTACCCGGCCCGCTGCCCGCCAGCGAGCGACGACTTTACGACCTGATCGTCCCGAAATAATTAATCTGGACGGGGAGGGTGGGAGCTGAAATTCGTCGGACTTCTTGTTGGATGGTATGAATGCGCATTCGCGCCAGGTCCGTCGCATTCGCCAGTACACGGCTAGCCGGCGCCGGGGACGCCTTTAGCTACCCGCCCCGCTGCCCGCCAGCGAGCGACGACCATACGACCTGATCGTCCCGAAATAATTAATCTGGATGGAGAGGGTGGGAGCTGAAATTTGTCGGGGCGACACAGAGCCTGCAGCAGCTGCGGCATTTGCGTCGTACGACGCGATTGTCCCTATGCATATAGATGTGCTACACCGCAACAGCGGGCTTGCTTCGCGGGGGACGCAGCAAGAATTCAAACTTCTCTGCAAAGGACTCGAGCTGAAAGCGAGACTTGCCCCAGATTGATGCATATTGATGCCCTGAAGCCGGTCGACACCTGAACACATCTGGCAACAAGGCCGGGTTCTCTGGTCCCGTGCCGGACTTGTGGATTTCGACAAAACACCATTGGATCTGACTCGTGGTCAGCTTCTGTGCAAACAGTTGCAAACCTTGCCAGAGGGAAGCCGTGTTTCCTGGCATGGGTGGTCGCAGGACAGCGTCTCCTCGTTCGCGCTTTGTGTGGTTCTGCCTGTGGTGACTAGAAGCCTGCTACATTACCAAGGACCACTAAGATTTTGCCATCTTACTACACACCCGATTGATCCGGATAGCAATTTTCGCGGCTGCCTCCGTAAACAAGCTGTAGTTTAAAGTGACCCTCGAATCGAATCATGACCAAGACAGCATCTTGAGACAACTGCTTGTCACAAGCAACTTGCTAGCCCCAAGCAACGTGTAGATCATGGAGGAGCGAGAAGGTCCGCTGCAAGTACCCAGTTGTCGGTAAAGCGTACACGGCGTTCGAATACATATTTATCCACCATGCACCTTGGTGAGATCGTACTTGGATCCAGCTTCGAAAACCTTTTCCAAGGTAGCCTCGCAGATGCTTGCGAGTTCGGACCAAAGGCTTCAACCAGACCCTGGTGGAGGCATGAGTCAAGCTGCGCTCCTCGCCGGCTGGCTGCAATAACCACCGTGCAACCTCGCAACATGAACAGGCATCTCGGCCGTCCACATTAGCACGACGACTCCTGCCTGCACATCGCAGTGTCCCCCTTGATTCATGACCTGGGAAACATGCACCGAAGCTCATCAGTCCGTTCTAGTCCTATGCTTCGTGCTTGTGGGGGATGGGCAACTCCCAATAGCTGTCGTTTGGCATTGAACCAGTCAATGTCCCCAGCACCTTTCACTCATGGGCGCACATGCATGTAACGAGTCTCTCATAGGGGCGCCTTTCAAATCATCGCATGCACGAGTCCAATGTTGCACGGTCTCCCTGCCACCATTGGGTCCTCTTCCATTTCCATATCTTGAGATCTGAGATCGTAAGCATAGCGGACGTCCTATGCGACCATCTTTGCTGACTGGCCAGTCCACAACCTCGGAACTAGCATGACCCAAGCCCAAGTGAGCACAGGGAGAGTCGAGGCTTCAGCGCCCTCAAGCACCTGTTTTAGGTAGAGCTTGTGGGAGTCGTAGAAGATCTGTCGAAACTCAAAACGATCCTCTCTCTCGCTCTCGCTACACCGGGCAGTGCCAGAGTGCCAGGCCCTGGCGCCTCCGGAAGGCCGGCCAAAACTATTCTCAAGGCGCCATACCTGCGGCCCCCGGAGTCCCACCCTTCGCTTCGGGCTTCTGCTTCTTGCAGTCGAAGCACGTTCGTCTGAGCTCAGATTTGGCGTTCCACCCTGCAAGATGCTGGCTGCAGTTTACTCCGAAGCAATGGAGAAGCCAAAGCGCCTTTTCGGGTGAACCCCTCATGTCTTTCTTGAGAAGACTGCGCGGAAACTCACGGAGAAGGCTCCATCGAGCTTTAAGAAAGAGTGCAAAACACCGGCAGGAGGCGGATCGAGCCGCCAGGTAGCTGCTCGACTGACTCACAGGGCCGATTCGCACTGCATGAGAAGCAGCCGCAGTGTCTGTTCAAGTTCCTGATTCCTGTTTCTCGTACTGGAGGCCTCCCTTTCTTAGTTCAGAGTGGTGTTCGCGTTATAGCTGCTCAGCCCATTAATGCGGCAAGCACGTATGTTCAGAAAACAACTTCAGACTCCCTGTAAACTGGAACCGAAGAAAGTCAGCTCGAAGACATCCAGGCTCACTCCTCTCACTCTGCAGCAGCTTGACATAGTATGACATAGTCACGGCTCTTGCACATTTTGTAGGTCAAAGCTCTGGGACCCAAGTAAAGACGCGAGCTGTAAAGAGCAGATGCTGCGATGCCTAGAAGACCAGCGAGCTTGTCGTACTTGGCTTTCGATCCCATCTGTCGCACCTGATTGCGAGCATGAAGTCCGACCAAAGCAAAATGAGATCTAAGAGGCTCCTGCTTGCAAAACCAGGTTTCGCCTGACCTTAGAGGAGACGGTGCTCGGAGCTTCGAGAACTTCAGGCATAAAAGCCCTCAAAAGCCTCTGAGATAGGGGCTGCCTCATGCAGGTAGTTAGCAGGCAACGGCTTTGGATGCAAGCTGCTACCAGCCTCAAGAGCACAGTACGCACATGAAATCCATAAGTCCTCCGTCTTGAAGCAATTCTCAATCTTCAGGGCAGGGCCGCAGTGCGCAGCAGGATTTCGCATTCCGCTTCAGGGTGGGACCTGCTCACATTCAAATAAGTCACGTCCGACACACAGTGGCCAAGACCCGTGCCAGAACACATCTTGCCTCGGTAGTGCAGAAGCTGCGCTTGGCTTGGGAGCCTCTTGCAGAACCGATGATCTTATGGCAAGGCACGACAGGCCGTTGATGACCGCACGGACGCGGAAACCCATCGCCTCTTCAGGGACGCACAGATCTTTGTGATCCCAGCATGTGCCGGATGCAGCCTTGATCAGAGGCAGGACGGCCTCCCGCTCCAGGGTGCCACCAGCCTAAATGGACCGCCATGGACAACACTAACACTGCCAACGCCGCAGCCAGGCGCCTGGCCTGCTGTAGCCAGAGCATGATGGTAGCAAGGAGGTCAGCAAAAGGATCAGCAGACTGGCAAAGCAGCACTGCCGCTTTCGATTCGATGCAGCGGAATCATTGATGCTCGAAGGCCATGCCAGAATCGCGAACGGCATGGCACCGGTCTCGTCCGCCTTGGCTGCACCAACCAAACCAGGTCCGCCAACAGATCACGCCCCTGAATCGTCTGACTGCGAAAACAACCTCGGTATGAAGCTGTGTCAAAAGCTGCGTGGCTTTTCATAATGGTAATGCGAACAAGCTGCCGGAACGCTTTCTGCAGAAGCCTGGCGCCCATGGATGCATGCAGTGGACGTCTAAGCATGCATATGTCAGCAAACTGTCTATCCCCAAATTCACGAAAGCTTCACCGGGCAGCTTGCCCACGTGCTTGAAAAGGGAGTTGAACCAACCAAAGCAAGCATTGTTGAAGGTTGATTTTGCTGAAATACCGACAAACCCTTTGCGACAAACGAAACAGTCGATAATACCAGCACTACCAAACAAACAGAAACAAAAAATCGCAGCATCGACGAGAAGCCAAGAGCATTGAACAATTTCATTATTCATTTCGGTTCAACGATGTTTAACTCATTTCGTTTCTCATCCTGTATGATCTTAGACCGTTGTTCATGAACTGTTCCCTTCATTCCTTCATTCAGTCATTTCGATCATTGGTTCATTCGTCCGTCCATCCATCCGTCGATCCTTTCACCATACTCCACACCGCCCCCCTCCAGCCCAGCGCAACCCATTCCAATCAGCGCAGACCAACCCTTTCTCATTCGATTCCATTCCACACGCCTCATGATGTCAGGACTGGGATATATTGCCATTGCAATCCTGCCTCGATCCTGCACATACCCCCGATAAAGAAGCGGCCAAAGAACACTTTCGTTGCAATCCACCTCCGGCCCTAGAAAATCACACAACTGTTGGTGACGGTGATCCCTACGACTCAAAACAGTGAACAACAAGCGTGAACATACCGGCTTCGCGGAACATGCATGAATTTTTTGGGACAGAACTGGACAAGGAGTTGCATTACTGCTCTTGCGTAGTCCTTGCAAAAACAAGTCTGTCGAGGTGAAGCGAGTTTGTTAGTCTGATATTGGGATGTACCAGCAAAGGTTTGATTCGTGGCCAAGACCGGGACGGCGAAGTGCAACGGCCTGGCTTGCACCAAACTCAGCTTTGCAACATTTTTGCAACCGGGTCGTCGGCCGTCAAACAGTTACATGATTGGTCGCGCTTCTGAACACTCCAGCCGATCTTTTGTCAAGCCGGCTCGTATCAAGCTTTGGCTGCCTTTTGCGACCAGCTTTGTGCTCGGGGCGGAGGACCCATATCCATGCGTTGCCGTCTTCAGCCCGGCAGTGACCGCACTGTAAAGGGAGCATCAAACAGGTCATCAATCGTCAAGACGTGCATGGCCAGAGTGATCGCTGACCATGTCGCCACTTGAAAGCCAAAGCATGGCCTGAAACATCACCTCAGGCCCCCTGTGATCGAGGTTGCCGCTCCCCATCTGCTGGCCGCGTCCCAAGCTGGTTTGTAACCACAGCAACCACCTTATGGCTGCGGCTGAGAAAAGCCTGTCGTTATCCAAGGATACACCCACCTTGCACAGCTCGTCAGCGTAGTTCCTTAAAACCACGGCCAGCACAGCAGGGCAGCTGAAGAGATCTGGGACGGCTGTGGGAGCTAGCCTCATCCAACGAAGGCGTTCCAGATGCGAGCCCGGAGCGATAGTTTTCGCCGCAACATGCCGCAACCAGATCGAAGTCGTGCGCCGGTTTTCCTCGGTCCGGGTGTGCAGCCTGGCGTACGCAAGCACTGGGGTCTCTGACGCACGGCTGGGCACAGGCCAAGTTTATCCAAGTTTGTAAAGAGCTTTGTGCACTTGCGCAAAGACACTTGCAATAGTCGATAGTCGTGCAGTGGGCGATGTCGATGCACAACGACCCGCCACCGGGGGCGGTGTCGCAGCAATGTGGAACTCGGCCCGCGAAACCCAAGTCCAACTACGCAAACGGTCCTGCAACCAAGGATCGAGCACATCCTGCCGCAAACCGCGGGGCCACAACTGTCGCGAGAAACTCTTCAACGCAACCCTATAGGTTCTGAACCGAGCGGGGCGGGGCTTCAGAACAAGCGACACCGTCGTCAGGCTTGGGATCCACAAGGCGAAGGGCTTCTGCAGCAAAGCTCGGACTGCTCGGCGAGCGTCTGTTGTGAGCCGGCCTCGCGAGAGGTCTCGGGAACGAAACCTCCAAGGTCGCCAAGAAGGTCTGCTCCCAGAACGACGCGTCCTCCAACAGGTAGAAGAAGGCTTTCTTCTCGTCAATCGCTGTTTGAGCGAAACGGAACGAGGGGAACTATGTAGCCGATAGAAAGAACTGGTGGCAGCAGTCGTGCACATCCTCTCCGCAGCCAAGGAGCCTCTCACTCATGAGGTTCAAGTTCTATGGTTTGCAGCGACGAGAGCCAGACGCATACACAGATTCGAGGGCCTGGTTCGATCATCATCCAAGGATGCACTGAAGGCCCCACACGCTGTCCTTTAGAATCGCAAAGCTGGCATCGAGCATGGCAACACAGTCCAAACTCGTCTGCCTTGTGGCAAAGTGTCCCAAACTCCCCGAATGCACCAAGCCAACCTGACGGCAGTGACAAACCCGCCAAGGTGGGAGCGGTTCTCCAACCAGGCGCCAAGAAGCGTAGAAATCTGCAAGTTCAGCTCCCTGTCTTCTATGCAGCAGATCTTCAGTCACACAAGGTTCGACGGCAATGTATACGGTATCGGGCTCGCGCTTCAGTGCGTTCTGCAACGGCCTGTAAGCAGCAGCTTTCGAGCGACTACCCGGCTCCTGCGTAGACGTAGCCGGCTTTGAGCTTCCTTTGTTTTTGACATGTCAGCCACAATACGAGCTTCAATGGGCTGCCTGCCGCAAGCGCCGCATCCTGACCCTGCAAGCCATTATCAATAGAACTTGCACCAGACCCAACACCCAAGCGCTCAGAAGCAGGATCCCCGACCGGCCCAAAGTCTCCCAACACCGGCTTCTTCCGAAGAACCACATCCTGTCGGCCTCTGCATCAAGTGCTGCAAGGAGGACAGATTTGTCAAGTCCTGCTACCCGACCCAGGAAGACAACATCGCTCTGATCAGATCTCCCTCAAAGTAGAGTTGCTCGGCAACGTTGCAGTCAAGGAGACCGAGCTCCCTGCCGATGCAGCGATGACTTCACAAAGGGAAGGTTTGACAAAAGGCCCGGTTCGGGATGCGGCTCTTACTGGCCTTGCGATGCCATGCATTGTGTAGCAAGGCAGCCACGACCCTGCCACTTTCAAGTGGGCAGATCAACATAAAACAGACTGTCTTCCGTGCTTCTGCCTCGCCTACAAACAAAACTCCAACATCACAGCTGTGCTGCACGACAACTGCATGGAAACCATATAGGCAACTTTCTTGGGCCTGACAAGCAGACTTTAGCACTCATGGCCATCCGGCTTGTTTTTCTCAGCCACGCAAGCCGGCTGCGGAGAACGCAACTTGTGCTTCCCAACCAGCGCGGACGGAATCGCCAAACAGGTTGCCCTCTGGCCAGTAGATGATTGGAGCCGTAAACGAGGGAACCACGTGGAACCACAACGTAAACCTTAAACTCACGCGCGACTTGGATTTCCCTCTGTGGGCCCCGTCCAGGGATGTCCAATGCCCGGCGAAACACTGCCCGATCGATGGAGCGACCTCTGTGCGCTCCACTTGGGAGATGGTAAGGGAAGGAGGAAAAGGACGTGGCTGGGGCTTAGCGCCGGGAACCTGGTGTGAGCCAGGGGGCCCGGACGGCACAACTCCCCAAACGGATCTAAGCGGAAATGGAGCCAAGTCAAGACGGACCTGCCGGTGCACTCCCACACAGAGGTCCCGCAGCACACGAGTGAACCAAAAAAGTTCAGCTCTCACTCATCAAAGCAAGCGGTACAAAAGTCCGCCCTGACGGAGAGGCTGCATGGGCACAAACGACATCACCGTAACCAACCGACAGTACTAAAGGAAATCGATCATCAAAGGATCTAAAACAAGCCCGAAAAGAATGCAAATCTCTGGCTCGAAACTATGAGACTACGGGCAGCTGAGAGCAGGGAAGCGAAATGCACCACGAAATCGAGGCGAGAGAGCTTGCGAGGAGGCTGGTTGAAGGGGCCTCGTAGAGGCCATCTACGAGCCACCCTGTGCAAACATCTTTCACAATGTCTGGACAATAACCATGCTGCGGCTAACTTTCTGGGAAAGGCAGGGGCTGCACCTCCAACAAACTCTGGGAATATGCTTCTCGAACAACCACAAACCGCGCCTGCCGGCAATAAAACAAACACCTGATGAAAGCTGCTGGATTCTTTGCACATAAGAAAGCCACAACCATGAGTGTATGGCCATGTAAATAAGCAGCCGTTCCGATAAATACCTTCATATGTCATAATGTCATATATTCGGAAACGTCACTGTCCAAACAAAGTTTGTCGCAAGTCTTGTGATGTTCTTGAGGTGGTATTCTTTGGAAACGAAAATAGAATTAGCAAAGACAAGAAAAAACATTTAAAAAAATGCAGGACGTGCCACACCTGTGTTCCACGGCTCCAATCAACAGTTGCAACCTTTTGTCTATCTTGAATGGTTGTCTCCGAGCAAAGAAGGAAAATGAAGGTGCTTAGCGTTTGTTGATGCAACGATGGAGGAAACTCTTCCCTTGCCGCTTCTCACCTTTTCCAAGTCACCTTTCCCTTGCCGGTCCTTCACGTTGGCCAACTATTTCAGTCGACCCGAACATGCCCTCAAGAGCGTCCCGCTTTGGGGCACATATGTTCTGGCCGTATCCAAACCTTGAAGCCCCAGAATCCAAGGCGGCGGCACTGACAGCATGCTTCTCTAGCTTCCGCAAACCACGGCTGCAAGGGCTGCGACGGTTGCACATTATCCAAACGCTTAGATGATGCCGAATTTTCCAGAAGTTCAGCTGCAATTTCAGGAACTTTTTTTCCAGAAGCTCAACTGCGTTGGCGGCGAGAGGTCACAGATCACGGCCTCCCCTTCTACAAGGCTATATTCTGCTCAATGCCAGAGACACAATTTGAACAGGCCTTCATCGAACGAGCCACATTGACATGACCAGCATCGGTTCAAGACGGGCTGAAAGCATCAAGGACAATCCAAGGATTCAGAAAAAGTTACACAGACACTCAGCTCTCAAACAAAAACCCCGCACCTTGGCCTTCCTCTCCTGCTCAGCCGCCTCAGCCAGTTCTTGCAATCTGATCTGCAGCACCCTCGGGTCGCAAAGACGCATGAATCAAGACTGGTATCGCTCGTCACCGACAGTGTGCTCAGCAGTAGCTTGAACCCTTTTGCATATGCTATCGCAGGGTCGAATTGGTCACACGCACTGCGCACAAGCCCCGACGAGAAAGTCATGTTCACGGGGCTGCAAAACTCCAGACTCACGAGGAAGGCAAACGACACAACCCCAGCACCCTGCCGAGCAGCAGCAACACAGCTGCTCACTTCATCGGGTCGCCTCCATTTCTCGCTGAAGCGACTGGACGATCGCAGAGTTGGCAGCCTGGACAGCAACTTCTTGACGAAGCTCAAGATTGGCCAGTGCCCAAAAACTGAAAACTTAAAGAGCCTCCTCCTCGGCTGTGATGACATCCTTTTTGTCGCTTACAATGCAGGAAGAGACACTCCGAGATCAGACAGTTCGATTTTTCCCACGATACCTGCACATGACTGACGATGCAGTCGGCGCAGAGTTGGAAGCTGGTCCTCTACATCTTGAATGTAAACTTCGGTAGTGATCGTCTCGGCGGAGTCGGCCACGTTTGAGAGACTGTCAGGACAGAGGCCATTCACATCTGGTCCGCATGCCCCTGCTCAAAGAGCATGTTTGTTTGCGCCTTGCATGTGGTGCTTGCTCAGTTTCCAGCTCCGACCTCCACCATGGCAAAGCGACAAAAGGTCACAGCGATGCTTAAAGCGAGACCATGTATGGTTGGGGGACCTTAAACAGTGGATGCCGTACTATGTTATAGGGACCCCAAAAGGGACCACAATCTTGACAACCACCCGTGTACAACTGTGTAACTCACATCTTGGGGAGCCGGGCCCAGCGAAGAGCAGCCTTGGGACTTGGGACGTGAAGCAAAAATCCTTCTCTTTTGCTCTACACAGACTCTACGACGCCACGAACGCTCTACTGCCAGACTACTGTAAGCAGGTTGCGCTGCTCCTGGGCCAAGCGTTGGAGACTCCAGCTGCGTGGGCTGGTTGTGCCTGCCATCATTGAACTGGCTACTGGTTCTCTGTCTCGATTTTTGCAAGGCCTTCTCCTCCAATCTGACACAACGACAGGGCGTCCGCCCGTCACACTGCCCACGCGTTCTAGCACGGCCTGCATCAGGGCAATACGACTAGCTTCGTTCAGAACTCGGCCAAAGCGAAGCACTGTCTTCACAGCTGCTATCCATTTTGACAACATTTTCCAGTCTGTTGGACGCTCCTCCGTTGATGCAGTCTCATACTCTTCACCCCAGCACCTGCATCTCCACGGGGAACTTCTGCAAGTTTTCCCGCACGGCAGCGGACAATGCCTCTCGCTGAGGCACCTCGAAATCCTTGGCAAAAGCTTATTCATTTAATCAACGCCTCACTGCCCCTTCCTTGATTGGAACCGCGCCTTCTGCAGGGTCACGTCACTGAGCACCTATTGGGTTCGGGCTAACTCCCGTCATTCAGCCGAGCACAGGCCGCCTGGTACAAAACTGCAGGCCCTGATGAGCTGTCTTCCTCGAGTTGAAACTGGTATATGCTAAAAGCTCGGACAGGACATCTTCTTGCTCTCTGGTTCTCTGATTACTTAGATTCGGAAAGAAAGCACTGCACCGGACCAAGTCCTCCTCCACACCGAAGGTTTGCAACCAGTCAACCTTGGTCGATGCAACAAAGTCACTGTCATACGTCCGGCAGCAGCCGGACGTAGCCACGAGCAGTCTTTTGGACCCCGGCTATCCTTTCTATCCTTGACTCTGGGTCAAGTTCTTTGAGCATAGCAACGCTTGCCTTCGACGGCGGAAAATGCACAACCAGATGTACGCAGTAACACAAAATCTCTCCGCAAACCGAACTCACCTACGCAGGATGATGCTGCCTCCACGCCGACAACTCAGTGAGTCGCGTGCCGCGACGAAGGTGGACAGACAAGAGGATCGGTCTGCTGAACTAGCAGGTAAATCCAGGTAGTGCATGGGTTTGCAAAAAACGAACTTTTATGGTGATAGCCACCGCACTATATAGATTCACAGAATGCGTGGTGCTTGGTGCATCGAGTCGTCGGTGGGCCCTGCGAAACTTTCACAAGAAGATCAACTTGGTGGTGGCGCACAGCATGACAAGGCAGTGGAGTACCCACCGCATCCAGTATACGGATTCATAATGGCGAGAACACTTTTCTCATCTTGATCAACTGTCCACGGCCCAAGTTCTAAAATCTTGCCGGGCTTTGCACGAGCCGTCAATTTGCGTTGCTGCTAGCATCTGTGTCACGGGCCGAAGGTGAACTGCTGCTAGTGTCTGTGTTGCGGGCGAAGGTCACCTGCTGGTAGTATCTGTGCTAAGGGCCGAAGGTGACCGTACATGCGGAATAGACTCGGATCCATTCCGTTACGTCGCCTCCAATTTTCAATACGAACCTGACTTTCGGAAAAGTTTCGGCTGGAAGACGGTCGAAGTACCGGGGGCAGTTTTTGATTCCATAGGCAGTGTACTGCTAAGGCCTGTGAGTCTCGTTCGAAGCCAATGTGGTGGCGCAGAGTGATCTGCCCGCAGATTGCGGCTGCTCAACTCCGGACCAGCAACATCTTCCCAGCCAGCTGTGGTGCCGGAGAGCAGCAAAAAGCAACTGAATCCGGCTGCTCCCTGGCCCTACCATGCCCTGCCCAACTCATCAGTTCGATCTTCATCCCGTTGCTTGCCCACTAAACTTGACTGTCGTCTTCATCGCCCCCTTTCTCTACCCGGACCCTCTGCCCGGGCCCCTCTGCCCCGACGCGGCCTTGGCCCAGAACTTCACTTCCAGTCGAGCGACCTGCTTGAGCACCTTCAGGAGCGCGAAAACGATGGTGACATGAAGTGCTTGGGCTATCCACGGTGCCATATGCCTGCTGAGCTTTCGATTTCGAAGTCCGCTCATTCCGTCGCTCCTCAATTGCCTGTCAGGAAATCAAGAAGACAATGCTCTCGTGCCTGTGTAGGCAACAACAGCATTAAATCAAAGCCTTCAGTGTGCCACGGAGGTCCCCCCAAAAGTTCGGAGCACAAACGTACCTCACCCGTCGTAGAAACACTTCCGCACAGCTGCATCGAGAGTGTCGGGCAACCACGGCTCACCGGTATCGAGAGCATCACTCACGCGTGGTTGGTGCGAGAGATTTCACTGCTCTTAGATGATAGCATCTGATAGCACATCATGAGTCACCTGTGCATCCTAGATGAAGCCGTCTGCACAACTGGCTGAACAAAGATTCAGTTGAAGGAGAGGTAAAAAGAAGCAAGTGAAAGGAAAAGCCAGAGTTAAGAGCGCCAGTCCGTGAGAAGCAAACAAAGCGCGAGAAGACGAGAGACCAGAAAAGCCAGAGAAAGGAGCATGCAACGTGGACACAGGCAGCCAGACTCACTACTAGTACAAGTGAGAGAGAAGCCTGCTACAGGACAAGCGCAAGGCTTGACCCAAAAGCATCCGCTGTCACCAGTCGGTCAGTCTATGACGAGGCTAATGAGGGCGATGAGGCCTATGCTCGCAGTTCGAGTAAGGACACAAACCCAAAGATGCTACCTTTGGTGTACAAGAACCAACGCAGGGGGACGCTATCCGAAAGATTGCCCTTTCTTGGATTGTCGAGAAGACTGTGTGTCAATCAGCATCGACAATGCAAAAGAACTGGACGAACTTTTTCGCCGCTTTGGACCATTGCTCTTGCAGGCCGGACACTGTTCGGCCTGAAGCCATCAGCAGATAGCTCCGTCAAGTTATGTCAATTCTGAAGCCACTAGCAGATTGTCAAGTCAAGCAACGGCCGAGCCCTCCTTCGCTCTTTGGCATGCCAGACGCTGCGCTGTGCAGTGGACATCTGGGTGCCGACGTCCCAGAATCTGGCGCTGGACCTGAACAGGCGCAGGGAAGGCTTCCGCATTCTTCCACATCTTTTTTCCGATTTCTTCTCCTCTCTGGGTGCCTGCCACAGATGCCGAAGGCGGCGCACCTGTGCCGGTCGAGAGCCGCGGCACCGCAGCTCGAGGTAGTCACTGGCCGTGGACAGCAGCTGAGGGTGAGGAAAACCCTGGAACACCTCCCAGCGGTGCAAAGGAAGATCCTCCCCACGTGAAATTCGAGAATCTGCTCTCGCCTCGTTCTGAATCCGCAGCGTGCGACTTAGGAGGCCCCGAGCCTCTCGAGACTTGCATGCCGAGCGGGTCTGCGAGTTTTGTGCGAAGCCACTCAGAGTCAGATTAATGTTCGCACCTTGCCGGTCCGGCATTGCTTGCGCAAAACTGCTGCACGAATCACTGCCGCTGATAGCCTTGTCGACAACAGTTTCAGACCGGTGAACAGGACAAACGCGCTGTACGCTTCCCTTGAAAAGTAGATGCCACCTCTGGGTTCTTGTTTGTAATCAAGGCGGCGTTCTCGGATGCCGCTGACCAGACACTTTTAGCCGCAGCAGCAGGGCACGCCGAGCAACAACGGCTGCTTCCTGGAAGTAGCGCCATGTGTGTGGCAATCCGCACCATTGGTTGCCTCACACGACAGGCCTTGCAACGGTCCAGATCCATCAAACACTCTGCAACCAGAAGCATAGAATCCAGAGTTGCGGGGTGCTCGCGACCTGAGTGGCAGCGACCACCGTACACACTCAACAACGAACTGCCCTGTCGAGATCCGGACCGAGAACCTGCAAGACAAGTACGAAATTCCCGACAGAATGAAAAGCCGGAAGAAACCTAGACCATGGCCTCGCACTGCATCTTCACGGCACGCTGAGACAAGATCAAGGCAGTCTCTGTTGGCACCTACTTCGCACATGATATTCATAAACAGAAACATACATCCACGATTGACAGGATCAGCTGAGGCACCCCGGAGCTTGAAGCAACTACCTCCAAGACTGTCGCAGGAAGATTCGCGAAGTGGTTCGCCCGTCCGAGGTCACCTTAACATTGCTGTCCAGAACGCGCGGACAGGAAGCCCCTCTTGTGTGACCAGAATGTGATTCTGTTTCGGTATGATGCCGAGCCACGCAGGCCGGCAGCCAAAATGCTGGTACTTGCTGAAACTTGCGGATGCCTTGGGCCCAGAGTCTTCTCCTGGCAACAGACGGAAATAGCAGACGTCATTAAACCCCACAGGATGTGCACAAGAAACTGACGGCCGGTTGCGAGTTTCATTCACGAGAAGAGTGGAAACGATTTAGTTGAAAAGCTAACAAGGTTGTGGGCAGCCGCAACAATCGCCATTCACACACGGACTATGCGAGGATATTACATAGTATTAACTGCTCGTAATTGCATTTAACAAAGCCCATAGTAGGGTTGTCTGGGGACTATTAGAAAATTGGTAAACTTCAAGTGGCCGGCATGAACAATGTTGCAGGTATGCAACCCAAGGTATTGACATGGTTTGCCACCGTCATGTATCAAAGCAAAAGCCAACACAAAGCTTGTGCTGCGGTATGTACTGGACAACGGCAGGAAGCCGACATTAAAACTCGATCGCCTGAATCAAGTCGCAAAGATTTTTTTTACGGTTTCAACGGGCTGATTGATGCTACTATCGAGCTGTGTGCAGGGCATAACCGTCCAAATATCACATCATGTACTGACACGGCAGAGCTGACCACGCCCTGCAAGCCGGTGTGCGCGATCGCATCCAAAATGTTACTCGCGGAAGTGAGTGAATAAGTGCGTGTCGACCAAAACTTACGGTGCGGCCTACCTCCCACGTCCCTCTCAACATCTCAGGGGAGCTCCGCAAGCATCATCGCCCCCCTCCGTCCCAGAGTCCAAATGGTGGAAAAAACTAGCTAGTGCAGACCGGTCACAATGCGGAATGCGAGGGTACACAATTATAAAACCCAGAGACATAACCTCTGATCAGGGATAAAGCAGGCAGGAGCTAAGCCAGACGTAACCAACCGATAATACTTATGCTTGTATGCACCAAGAACACACCAAGCATATTAACCGGCAGACGCAAAGAGTTGCAAGGGGGCGAACCGTCCGGCCAGTGCCCTTGCACAGAGGGCACAAACCAGGCGACCGAAAGGCGCGCCCCACGTGCCGAGGGAACACTGTTCTAGAACCGAGGGCGAGCACGCGTCCTCAGGCTCGTGATCCTATGCTGGGTGCCCAACATGTCCAAACAAGTTTTTTTCAATTCGGGTTGCAGGCATGAATTGAATCCCTCATGACCGTAATACCATCCATGGTGCCCCAAGTCTGGAAACGGAATGCATGATTTGAGTATGGACTGGCTCACATCATACCTTGGACACCGCAGGCGAAACAGCAAATAAGCCTGTGGCTCGACAGTCCCCGCGACACATCCGACTCAAAGTGTCCGGCAATAGAGAAAGAAAAAATCCCAGTGATCTTTATCCGGAGTGCTGCACCGTACACCATACTGGAGCAACGCATGGGCCGCCAAGGACGGCGAACCTACAGAATCACTTGGTGAATCAGAGGAGGCTGCAGCCGGCAGCCCAAGGTAAGCAGGTTCCTCACTTTTTCAACCAGCTAGCCAAGCTTCCGAGGTTTGTAGTTCTGTCGTTGGTGCATCAAGCATGGTATTCAACCGTCTTGTGTTACCGTGGAATGGAACACTGTCAAAGATTGATCAATTGCACTTTTTCGCAGCTGCCACAAATTGGCATAGGTAGGACAACACGATACTCTATGTAGGCAGATGATGCAAAATCGTAGCCCGCAATGGTGGGAACATTTGATACAACACCCTCAGAGAAGTTGACTCGAGGGCAATACATACAAACAAGTCGAATGTTCGGGGGCGATCTAGTTTCAGTTGCCTTCGACTCCAAGGCTGCAACCAGCATCTTATGCACCCTGCATCACCCTGCAGCACAGCAATATAGCTATTGGAGACGTCGCCATCGTCGGATCGGTTGGGGTCCACACCTTTCCACAAAAAAGCCCAACCCCAAAGAGAGTGCTAGGCCCGGGGGTGGTTTTTTCGAACGCGGAAGGCTCTTCTAAGCGAGCCCATCAGCACCGACCTATCCTAATTCAGTTACTGGTGGCTTAAATTTTGACGGCCCTTGCGAGGTTTGCGTACTACTTTTGCCCAAAACTGACAGTCTTGTCTTGGCATCTCGGATGCACACGGCGGAAGAGAGAACTATTATCCATCCGAATGAGACCTGAGGAACTGTGCGCGGCAGCAATAGTATTATGATTGGGCACCTGATAAAAACTATAACTATGAGAGATCTGTTCATGAGAGGGCGCAGCGTCCCAGAGCAAATGATCGATACGATCTGCTGCTTGCGTCATGCAGGATTCGGCCCAATGAATGCGGGGCCGACCTGGTCGATCAGGTGCCCTAATATGTCTATATGCATGAGAAGTCATGTAGGTACACTGGCTTTCTAATGATTTAGGGTGTCTATGGATGTGCCCAAAAAGTTGTAATCGTTGATGTGGTTATAATTGAGATGGAGTGATAACCTTTCGTGATCTATAGCAAAGAGATGCGAGGTACTGGTTGGAACATTGGGAATGCGAGGGGTCCAATACTCTGTGATAAAGGAGGATTTAATCTTAAAAATACGGCGCAATGACTTATAATGTATGGAATCTAGTTTTCGTAGTTGTGGAAAAGTGAGCAAAACACTATCCATAGCGCAAGTGAGAACCGACAGAACAATACTTCGATATACTGTAAGTTTCCAGCTGGGAGGAAGGCTGGAATGGGATAGTAGAGGTTTGAGTAGTTTGGAAGTTGAATCAGCTTGTGAGACTCTGTATGAGGTATTTTTGCGATTGTTATTGGCCGGGTCTAGATAAACTCCTAAGTACTTGACCTCGTCAGACAACGGAACCGGAGTAGGAGGAGCATGTACACCGCCACAACATTTACATTGACAGGGCGTACCCGCCTGTGGCGCGTAGTATATGCGGTTGGGGGAATGTAAGCGTAAGTGTTTACACCTGTCTTCATTAAGAAGGAGACCTCTTTTGTGGCCGTGGTGCTGTACTGAATGGAGGAGCCGATTGAGTTGCTCTGCCGAGCAAGAGAGTAAAACGGTATCATCAGCATACTCCAGATCCCATAATGGGGAAGGAACGTGAAATACGCACGAAATTTCGCCAAATCTAGATTGGTACTCGACCTCTGCATCGTGGAATAGGTGGGTCAAGACAAACCCAAGCAAATAAGGGGATAAAGGACATCTTGGCGTAAGCCTTTAGTTTGTGTTCTGATAGTAGATTTGTGGGAGGAGTCTCGTACCAAAAAGGTGGGAAAATCGAAAAGCGCCATGATAGCTTTTCTGGTATGTTCGGTAACACTTACGTGAATCATAGCCGCGTCTATCGCCGTGAAGGTAACTGAATGTCAAAGGCCTAACTCCATTCGATACATAATGCATGGAACGGAAAGTTCTGTCGTTCGTAGACCTCAAGGAAACGTCTAATACTGTGAATAGGTTGAGTAGTAGAGCGGTTCTTGCGGAATCCAAATTGTCTATCTCTAACTCTTGAATCGAGTCCTCTTTCTATTTTCTGCTGTAGCACAGAAGCAGCGATTTTATATGAGATGTTGGTAAGGGAGATGGGCCTATAATTGGAAAGGCTGCGGGTGTCCTTCTGGGTGTTCTTAAGGATCATAACTACTTCCGAAAAAAGCCAGGAAGGAAGAACTTTTGCTTCCTTGTAACATTGATTATAGTGTGAAAGGAGATATAGTTTCAGTATGTAAGGAGCATGTTTGTAAATTTCCCCTGGAATGTCATTGGGCCCGGGGGGCTTTGTTATTTTTGAATCGCTTCAACGCGGAATCTAGGTCATGCATGGTAAATAAGGAATCAACTGTGGGTACCGGGGGGTGGGGGTCAATCTGCGCAATGGGTGGGTCTCCCTCGGTGTGCCAGAGTCTCTTGGAGAGGCAATCCGCAAAAGTGGTAGCACGTTGAAAGGAGGAAACCAATTTATCTGTAAGTTATATAAACCCGCGGCGCGGGGACGGAATTCTGCTTGTATTTGTCGAGCATGGGTCCACTGCTGTACTGAGCTGCCTTGGAAATCGTCTTGCAGGTTTTGAGCGATGAAGAATTTTTTGTCCCTACGGGCGGATTTCTTAATGGCATTTCTGGCTGCCTTAAGGGCGGGCGTCTCGGCGAAAGTAGTGTTCTGAAAACCTGGATGAGGTGAAGGGTATGTGAGGAGATCCAAGGTTTCTTGGCTGCCAAGGGGAGGATAGGGATGAAGGAGTTATGTTCCTTTATCTTGGAACAAAGAAAATCGTCCTGTTCTATAGTGGCTAGAGAAGTCCAGCCATGTTGGTTGAAACCGATATCTGGAGGCTGCAAAGATTTAGAGGGAGTGGTCGCAAAGCGACCCAAAGAGCCGAAAGAGTGGACGCCTCGTTTGGCTAGTGTATCGGCAAGTTCATTACCTGGAATACCTTCATGCGAGGGCACCTTCAAAAACTGGACCCTGAAGCGGCATCGAAGTGCCGTATAATATTGCTGAGTCAGGATGACAAGCTGATGGTGAGTAGTGGGGACTGAGGACCCAAGAAGGAGAGAAAGGGCGTATTGGGAATCAGTGTAGCTGGTAATCGAGTCTCTAACCTGAAAAGGGGAGTAATATAATAAGAAATCGAATAGCTCTATGAGAGCCTTAAGTTCGCCCGTGTTATTGGATCCCGGCAACTCTGGTAGATAATGAGAAGGAGCGGCGCGAACTTTGCCCCAGGATTGGAGCCAAGTATTATCCACAAGAGGATGTGTAGGGAGTTCTCGTCCGGGGGTAAGGGCAAAGCCCCACCCTGCTGGATTTTCGAAGGAGACCGTACGATTATTAGGACAAGAGCCGTCAGTATAAGCGACAATTCGTGTGGATGGTGGTTGGGTAAATGTAGAAGCATTGTCGGTTGTATCAATGAGAGTAGTCTCCAGCTGGCTATAAAAGGAGGAGAGTTGCGTATAATCCTTTTTAGCAGTAGATTGTTTAGGGGGGGAAGGTTGAAACTGCGTTCTGAGAGAGAAAAGAAGAGGAAGGTGTCGTGAGTTAATAAGCTGTTGAAACTTTGAACCATTAAATGTGAGAACCTTTCGAACATGAGAAAG